GTGCATTTTTGTTTTGTTGTTTTGTTGAGTGGGGTTGAGGGGGATGAGTAATATTTAACTCAACATTCCTGTTTTCGTTCTTCAATTAAACAAATAATTGTTCAATAAAATAATTAAAACTTGTTCTGTTGTACTTACACATTTAAAAAAATAAATCCGTTGAAATGTCATGTTTTTTGTTTAATTTTCCATCGAATATTTCCAAAATTCCCCAGCTTAACTTCCCATGGACACTTTCCAGAAACTTTCCGGAAACTTTCTGCCCCTTTGCAACCCTAATCCTTACTAGTTGCCCGAACCACCTCAACTGGATCCTTTCGACGCGAAGTCCCTCCCAGATGACTGAACTTCTCACAACTTATCCCTAAGGGAGACGCCAGACACCCTGCGGAGAAAACCCATCTCGGCCGCTTGTATCCGCAATCTCTTTCTTTCGGTCATGACCCATGCTTCATGACCATAGATGAGGGTAGGAACGAAAATGGCGCGGTAGACACAGAGCTTTGCCTTCTGGCTCTCTTTTCGTCACAACGGTGCGGTAAAGCGACTGCAGTACCGCTCCCGCTGCTCCGATTCTCCGGCCCATCTCACGCTCCATTGTTCCCTCACTCCAGAACAAGACCCCGAGATACTTGAACTCCTTCACTTGGGGTAAGGACTCATTCCCTACTTGGAGTGGACAGTCCATCGGTTTCCTGCTGAGAACCATGGCCTCAGATTTGGAGGTGCTGATCCTCATCCCAGCCGATTCACACTCGGTTGCGAACAGACCCAGTGAGTGCTGAAGGTCGCAGACCGATGAAGCCATCAGAACCACTTCATCTGCAAAAAGCAGTTGTGCAATCCTTCGTCCACCTAACTGCAGACCCCCTCCCCAACTACTAGGCCTCGAAATCCTATCCATGTATATTACAAACAGGATAGGTGACAAAGCGCAGCCCTGGCAGGAGGCCAACCCTCACCGTTAATGGGTCCGACTTACTGCCGAGGACCCGGACACAGCTCTCGCTTTGGGAGTACAGAGATTGGATGGCCCTGAGTAGAGACCCCCTCACCCCATAATCCCGCAGCACCTCCCACAGTGACTTGTTCCTCCTCAATCTGAGGTTCGACAATCGGCCTGACCCTCCTTTCGAGTACCTTAGAGCAAACTTTCCAGGGGAGGCTGAGTAGTGTGANATGCGATCCCTATTTGTTACCCCCAACTGTATTTTGTTTATTGAATTCGGAAAAAGATAAATATATATGTCGGGAAAAGTTAGTTGGGGAAGACACTTAGCCGAATTCAATAAACAAAATACAGTTGGGGGTAACAAATAGGGATCGCATCCAATAATCGCCGTCTTTAACAAATATCTCTCTCTCTCTTTCCCGTTTAAATGCGCTGTGTTTGCTGCCATGACGAGTGTAAACAAACTGTCAGTCGGTCACAAAGATGGCGGCAAGCATTCCGGAAATGACGTACTTGGTAACCATGAGTTGAGAGAATGCCCAAATCAATGAAACTCCGTACCATGTTTGCACTGCTACTTTGTACCAAGGCAGATTCTCCCATAGCGCGCATGTTCAAGGAGTGTTGTCATAGTTGGACAGCTCAGATCTGTTGTATGAAGCAATTCCGGTAGCGGAGGTAAGGTACACACACCAAATGTTCAGGAAATGGTTAATACAGCGAAAATCAAAGCTGACGATCTCTTGATTTGATATGTTTTCTCCCCCAGACAACATGGACATAAGAAAAAAATGTCAAAGAAGAGGAAAGTAAGTCATCAGCTGGTAGCAGTTAATCAGTTAACAGTGATGGCGGCGGTGGCAGCAAAAGCGTCTCACTTCTGGAGAGGAGTTTCGTCTTTATGTCATGATAGAGAGATACAAATTGAAGTATTATTTGAATTATTTGAAGGATTAAAGTAACGTGTTATGGCAGGAAAGTTCAATCTGGTATATTCATTTTAATGTCACCTTATATAGAATGTGTGTTAAACTTGTGATTTCTGCATTGAGTGACTTCTGCCTAGCAGATACCAAGAAGAGCCCCCCAGGGTCTCTCTGTTCATTATCAATAGTCCTTGCAATCAACAGGGGAATTCCCGGATACATTTTCAGATATAAGGCAGTTAAAGTCTTGTAGAATTAATGTTTATCTCCTACACATCCTGCAGGCCTTGAGACTTGGGTCACCCAGCAGTAAATGAGATAAAGGTCCTTTTGAGCTTATCAATAAAATGTATTCATTCCTAGTAAGCTGACTTTGGGGTGAAGGGAAGTTCAGGGAAGCCATTAAGCNCCTGACCTTTATTAGTCATCATCAAATGCTTTATTATTTGTTATAAAGCAATGTGAATGTGTTTAGAATTGAAATGATATGGGCGACTGTGGCTGTGAGGGAGTGTGGTCGTCTTTCAACCAGAAGGTTGTGGGTTCGATCCCAGCCCATGCAGTCAACATG